ACATCAGTTTGTCTTTGTATAGTATAAGTGTGGCAGTTCAGTGAATGTCCGTCCGATGATCTACAAAGTTGTGTATCATCTGGTACTATCCTAACAGAAACATCCTTTGCCATAACTCTGTTCACATTGTCACATGATTGTGCAGGAGACTCAACCAAGTGTTCGGGCCTCCAGCTCTTCATCCTCATATGGGTATGTAATATCTTGTACTTTGTATCAGTCTCCAGTGACTTCTTTATAGTACATTCGAACTGCCTGAATTTACTATAGCATTAAATTCCTTATCATCTATGGTTACTACTTTAAGGTATTTACTCACCAATTGATCCTTATAATGAGTGATATGTTTAACCTCGCCACTAGGAGTCTTAAGATCAGCGTTCTCTAAAAAACATGCCCACTTCTAGGTAAATGATTGGACAAATGTTATGTGGTCGATGAAACCAAAATTAATCGATTTGGATCTGATGCCAAGGAGGGGATGTGAAAGGGGCGAACTGAACTATTACGGACAAGACATAATTAAACCAGCTATTAAATTCAGTGGTGGAAGTAAAATTATATGGGAATGCATTATGTCAGAAGGGGTTAGTTTATTAGAGAAAATAGAAGGGAAAATGATTGCAGTAGACTATGTTAAATCAAAACATAATTTTGATCAAATGTATATAAAATGTATTTTTTGTTTTGTTTTTTGTTTAAGTAAAACAAAATGTTTTATTAAACAGGTTATCAATTGCTAATCATATGCTTAGACAATATAATCATATGTGATCAATTCGAGAGTCACTGTCTATGATATTACACAAATTTATAGGATTCTGTTCCGCTGTCATAATTCTACAAATCCTGCATAATATAGAAGAATGTATATATTTCATATGATCGTCATAATGCAATTATTAAAGTTCAGTGTCACATTGACAGATGAAGAAATAATGGAAGTTTCCATTTATACTTGTTTATCTATGGCTATTTCTTTTTGACACTTTTTTAATATCTTGGTTATTTTTTGTGATAATGAAATTAGTAGAATCCACCTTCGTATTACGGAAGAACGGATTTTGCCATCACTCACTTTTATAGATTTTTTTCTCAAACGTTCGTACTACGTTACAAACTATGAACATGGCTAACAAAATTCATAAAGTATTTGTGTATGGAACATTAAAGAAAGGTGAACCGAATCATCATTGGCTGACAGATATTAAAAATGGAGCAGCCAATTTCGTCTCGAGAGCTACTACAAATGATAAATATCCTCTAGTAATAGCAACAAGATATAACATACCATTTTTACTGGACAAGCCGGGAGAAGGATACAATGTTTCTGGAGAAATTTATGAGGTAGATGACAAAATGTTAAGTAACTTGGATGTCTTAGAAGATCACCCGAACCTTTACGTGCGTGAATTAGCAGATGTCTCAAGTGATGAAGGTATAATACATATCAATACTTGATGCAAACCACTTAAATTGAAGGTCCTTTATACTCCCCATACATTGTTACATTGAAATAATATAAAACTAGCTGAAAGTGGAATTCTGTCTTAAGGCAATTAAGGCATCGTGCCTTAAGGCAAATTGCTGGAACTTCCCGTACCAAAAATTATTATTTTTTAAAAACGATTGACATTTTTAAAAAAAAATTACTTCGAAAAAATAAGATTTTTGAGAAACTATAAATTGGACAAAAATTACTTTACAATTTTTTTTTTTTTTTTAAATTTTTTTGGAAAAATAATGTTTTCTTTATTTTGGCATATTTTGGAAGATGTGAACTTTTTTTCAAAGCAATCGTACTGCTTTAACTGCATAGAGACAAAATGTCAAAGCGCGTAAGCGCCGCGTCGCCGTCTAACGAATAAACATTGGTACGGAACCCATAGGAATGCAAACAAAATTTATACTTATTGTTAAAATCTCTATAAAATATCTGATAATTTGATGTGCATATGTCTAATGATCATTTTTGACCGCCAAATGGCTTTTTTTTACTTTTTTCGTTAGATCTCCGAAACCGCTAGACCTGCCCTCATGAAAATTTGATCAATTCTTCATCTTGTCAATACAAGTCAAATGTTTTTTGAATTATTAAAATCGGACGCTCCGTTCTCTTAAAAACTGAGTTACCGTTTTCGGCACTTTTTGCCCCGTATCTTTGGAACGGCTGGAACTGCCTTCGCCAAAAACTAATCAGCACGTCTCCTTATCAATACGAATCGAATGCTTTTTGAATTATTCAAATCGGTTGATCCGTGTTCCCGAAATCGTCGACGAAAATTTGTATCCGCACATACATACATACACACACACATACATCCATTTTTTCTAAGGTATGCCAAAATGTTCAGAAACCTCTGAAACGTAAAGATATATAAAAATGTTCATTTTCGATTTTTTTGCGATTACTATAACTTGCCCTATGGGAAGTTAAATATTGAAATTACATGAAATTTTATGTATCCTCGGTTATTAGTATTAATTTCACTGAAATTTTCTCTTTCAATACAAACTTTGTTTTTAATTTTCATATATTTTATTAAAAATATTATAAAGAAATTGATCTTTGAAATAAAATGTCTTTGATACAGTTAACATACAAAATTTTTGCGTGCAATAGATTTTTAAAACATTGCATTTAACATTCTTACTATTAATTCACAGCATAAAAATATCTTATGGTAATAACAATTTTAAAGAAGATATATTTTTGTGGAATTCAATATCCAGATGTGTAAATCTTTGTTTTGATAAAATAATAATGCATGCAGCATCAATATATTTATGATAAAATCCTCTATTCAACATGTTAAGGTGTCTTTGGTAATATGATTCTAACTTAAGATGAAATGTTTATTTTCAGTCGACACTCGTGTTGGATATATCTATTAAAAACATTCCCTCCAGCTTTACTGTCTGCATTATTTCTTGAAAATTATACTAATAAACCACCAACCCACTATACGCACCAAGATCCAGTAGAACAATTGACATCAAAGATGATTTGGACTATAAGTTAGTAGTTTAATGTGTATATGTGTAAAAATATTTATATGATTTGTTATTTACGATGCAATGTTTAATAAAAATAAAGATACTAATAAATTTTTAGTTAGTGAAGATTGCCATAGTATGGAAAAATTTGAACATGAGATATAGATCTGTTTATATTAAACTTAGAGTAATTAACACTGAACTTATATATATTTCTATAAAATAAAATATTTAAATTTATGAAAAAAATTTCAATAATAATAAAACTTATCACTTCCCTTTTAACGTAATTCATCTTCATTCCAAAAGGTGCTAGGCAAATCACAGCCAGTGTACCCACCAATCGATATGCAATATGTTATTAGACGGTTCCAATTATTATCCAATGACAATAAAGATGGATTTCCAAAAATTACAAGCAATGTTTTAGCTCTAGTTATTGCAACATTCAATCTCTTGGGATTCCTAACAAATCCTAAAGTATGTTGCAGATCTTGAACTACTTTGGATTTACTTGATCTCACGGTAGAAATGAGTATTATTGATCTTTCTTGGCCTTGGAATTCCTCGACACTACCAATTTTGGGAACAGGAATATGCAATTCTTCAAGGGTGCCACGAATGACTTGTACTTGCTTTTGATAAGGAGTAATGATTCCAATATCATCTGTTTTAATACCCTTGGCATATAATTTGGACATAAAATCTAGAATCTGAATAAAATAAAACAAAAATAGTAATCTTGACAAAACTTTAGTAGGAAATGATCAGAATGAAATATGTAATAACCAAAGATGAAAATCGAGCACAAAATGAAAGAAAAACCTTAATTTGTGATAAAAAGAAATTGATACTGATTAGAATTACTGCGTTATGCAAGAACACTGAAATTATTGGTATTTCTTCTATAAGTAACAGCAAGTGATTTTTTAAGCTCATTCATGTTCGATATTCCAGATAAAATGAATTAAGAAAAAAATGGTTTAAAACTAAAGATAAGTAAGTATGTTTATGATATTGTTATACTAAAATTTTACTATAATAATTCAAATATATTTTGATCTCACTCTGACTAAAAATAAATCATTCTAATTTTATTTATTATAATAATTACAAAATAATCAATAATGTATTTAATTCAAATTAAATTATTATAGTATAATTATTTAATTAAACCAATAAAAATTTATATTGAATGTAATCAATAATAAAATTTGATAATCTTTTTGAGTTATTCAAATTCCAATCAACACAATTTCCTTTAGCCAAGAAAATTTGTTGTTGATAAAGTTTATTTGTAAATTATTTTTGTGATGTACCTGGCCTGCTTCTGCCTTATTATACCATGATGGACTGTCATCTGACTGGACATTTTTTCCCTGTATTCCATGGAAAACTATGGGCGGAGGCCCCCTTTCAGCATCTCTTTTTGGAAGCATGTCAGCAACTAAATTAAGGAGTTTTTCATCATTGCTGCCCTTCAGTACTTTCTGTAACAGCATTTCATAATGTAATACTTTTATAATACAGAATTATAATCAATAAATTTTAAGAAATGAATTACCTGAGCTTCTAAATCAGAATCATAAAACATATCACTAGGTAATTTTAAAATTTCTGGCAAAGATCTGTAATTATTGACTAGTTTTGTAACTAAGTGCGGATTATAACCTCCAGTATCTTTAAAACCCTGAAATAAATATGATATTAATTTAAATAAAGTTTCACCTACTAAAGAAAATAATATTTATATTGCAAGCTAAAATTAAAAACACTCAATCTTATATCAAGATACTAGAGAAATAAGAATACTAGAGAATAAGCATATTTTAGAATAGTCAAGAATAACACTAACTTCAGCATCTTTTTGATAGGGAACCCGCAACATTAATCTGCTCAAATATGATTCCTCTAAACCAAAATGAGCAGCAAACTTGCTGCCTACAATAGGTCCTAATTGCATTGGGTCTCCTGCAATATATAATATGAATGAATATATGAACAATCATTATTTGTTCAATTTAAATATACTGCCAAAACATAAAACACTAGTGGGGTGCATGGCATCGTGCCTTAAGGCAAATTGCTGGAACTTCCCGTACCGTAAATAAAAATTTTGTTATGAAACCCAAAAAAATTACACAGAATGTATACACATTAAAATCTCTATAAAATATCTGATAATTTGATGTACATATGTCCAATAAATATTTTTAACCGCCAAACGACATTTGTTTAACTTATTTTTATTGAGAGTTCGTAACCGCTGGACCTACCTTCTCAGAAATTTAATCAGTTACCATTTTTTGAACTTTTTGCCCCGTATCTTTGGTACGGCTAGACCTGCCTTAGCCAAAAACTAATCAGCACATCTCTTTATCAATACGAATCATATGTTTTTTGAATTATTCAAATTGGTTGATCGGTGTTCCCGACACCGTCGACAAAATTTTGTGTCCACACACACACACATACATCCATTTTTCTACGGTATGCCAAAATATTCAGAAACCTTTGAAACGTAAAGATATATAAAAATTTTCATTTTTAATCTTTTTGCGATTACTATAACCTACCCTACAAGAAGTTAATAAACTGATGAATCTGTGCATGATTATACACTATAATATTATAATATGGAATAAATATTAGAATCGAATCATACATAACGCATAAAAAAAATCAAAATAACAAAGGTTCAAATAAAAAAAATTGGAGAGCGTCTTACATGACTAATACTAATATTTTTAGTAATATTACGTGACAGTCAACAATTAAAAGCACAAATCAAAATTAAAATTAAAGGAACATTTTATTTGCTAGTTTATTTACTAAATATTACCTGCTAAAATAATTTGACCCTTTTCAACATGAGTATGAGTCATCGGAACCATAATTTCAGGTTCAGTGGCTTGTCCAGCCTCATCTACAATAACATGTGTGAAATGTCCACGTTTAAGGCCCATTGTATGAAGCTGCCCTAATGTCATGCAAGTACTTATTATAAGCCTATAACGTGCCAGCTGCGACCTTGTGCTATGCAATCTGAGGCCAGTATCCATTGTTTTAAACTGTAATTGAATAGAATTCAATTAAAAGCAACTCAAAAAATTAAAGGTCAGAATTTGTTTCAAAATTCTAGGATCACTTTTAAATATGTAATGTTTCTTATAAAGTTTTAGTTATTGTAACAATCAAGTTCAGCTGCTTAGCTTCACTTACAAGTTTAAAAATGTTAAATACAATGATGAAGAATAGAGAAAAAATTAAAGAAATTTACAGATTGGGAGGTGTGCCGGTTAAAAATTATAAATTAGGAATGTTTGTTAAATTGGAAAAAGTCTTAGTGGTATAGATTCAACAAGCGCAAACTTTAAAATTATCTGAAAGTGGCAGTATGCAATAAAGCTTTACTACATGCAAGGTAACATATAAAATTGTGGAAATCTTGTTAAAAAGTAACAAAGTAAGAAAAAAAAATCCAATGAGTTATATTACATCCATAAAATATTCTAGAACTAATTACCCTAGATTCTCTTGTTCCTTCCCTTGCTAAATCAACTGTTGAGCAATAAGGTTGAATATCATCAGGCACCATGCCACTTTCAATTAAATGATGGGCTAAAACACGAACCATTTCACCAGGTTTTAAACCTAAACCAATCAGCCTTTGTGTCAGCAAGTTTGACGAACTATTAGAAGGTGTAGCTGAAATATAAATTTATTTTCAATCTCATTCACTATTTTACTATTTTTGAACAATAATTATAAAAAGTTATTTATAAATCTGCAAAACAGGTCTGATTGTACATTGATGTAAATTTACAAAACACAAATTGCTTTTACCACAATTTGCAAACACATAACGGAAGATGAATGAAAAGTTAAGCACAATACCTAATAAAATTCTGCTGTTAGGAATTAATTTAAGAATCTGCATGACAGTTTCTACAACAGTGATGGTCTTTCCTGTGCCTGGAGGACCAAATATAATATATGGTAATGGTCTTGCATCGCCTCGAAGAATATTTTTAACAGTTTGCTTTTGCAACTTGTTCATATCTTTATTTATCCTAAAACAAAGATTTTAGGCTGATTTAAAATTGAACAATAATTTCATTTACTATGATTGAAAAATACTAATCACAATTGCAGTATCAGAAATTATTCTTGCATAAAATATAAAATTATTTAAGTGAATATAGAAAACTGTTATTGACTGAATAGAACAAAGGACTGCGGCATAGGTATAATAACTTGAGAGTAAGAATGAAAACACTCAATAATTGACCAAGAAAAATGATAAAATAATAAATTATTATGAATTCTTAATTCACAAAAATACAGCAAGTTTTTGTTTCTGTAATATTTGATTTAAAATGGCCCTAAAACATGTCCAATATTACCATATTCTGTATCACAGTGCCAAAATCATGTCTTACCATTCAATATGCTTAGTCACTACACTTTCGCTCTTAACAACTGATTTAAAATCATTCGTATTTTCAATGGAACATAAAGGTCTTTCATGCAATATAGTATTTATAATCTCTTTTTTCTTTTCTTCTAGAACCAAATCTTCATTTTCATCTAAATTGATATCTAATTGTGGCAATCTTAAATTGCACTGGGCAGCAAATAGTATTTTTCTTCCCAAATTTTCAACAGCCATTTCAATTGCTTGCTGACACCTTAAATAAAACAAATGCAAATGAATATTTTTCAAATAAAAAATAAAATGTTTATTTTTTCATATTGCCATCAATTAGTGATTGAAGGGTTTTGCAATCATTTTCTTTAATCTAGTATTTGTAACAAGTATTTTGTAATAAACTTTGATTTATCATATAAATAAATATATGTAAATCATGAACAGTGTTTTCTCTACCCACAAATAATTGAAATATTATAAATTTTGCAAACACAAACTTCACATACGGGTTCTTATAACAGAATGTAATAATTATGACAACTTACAATTTATAACAATAAATAAAGATAAAAAATGAAAAAAAAAATTATATGTATATATAAATATGTGTGTATGCATGTGTATATAAATCACTCACCTGCGTATGCTTGTACGAGTTGTATGAAACTCCAAAATATAATCTTTACCATTATATTTGTCATGAAATTGTGGATTAAACTTGAGCCAAATACTATTTGCTTGAACTTTATGTATAAAACCTTGATATTTAACTGCTTGTGGGTCCTCAATATCAATTGCTAATAATGAATCTCCACTCATCAAGGAAGGTCTTCTTTCCGACAGATTAGGAATTTCTAATGCCAAATATCCTTGACAATGTGTGAAATGGGCTCTTGGCATATTATATTGGCTAATAGCCAGTTGAGAATCGATATCTTCTAGATATAGTAAAACTCGAAATCTTGGAAGGTAGGTTTCAAAACTTACATCGAATTTTAAAATAGGTTCCATATCGACTATTACTTGAGATATAGAATCAAAAGATTGCTTGCCTTTTCCAGTTACTCCCTTGTATAATCTGTCAGGTATATAATACATACCTAAAGCTTTATGTACAAATGAAGGATTTTTAATCAGTTGCTCTCCAGGAATAACTGTTTTGAAATTAATCATAGATGATCTCAATTTGGCTGCATTTTGGTACATGGTACTCATTGAATTTTTTTTACTGGATCCTTTGGTTATTTCTGTATCAATATCTACATCGATATCAATATACTTAGCAATTTTGAAGTTTCTGAATGAGAATATTAATAGTTCTTTAGAATAACCACTGTGTTTAGCTGTACATGTAAGTTTAAACTTAAGTGTTTGACCACAATTTAAGTCACGCGGCAGCTTTAAGTTTACTAATTCTAACTGTGAATCAACTGATTTTCTAAAATGAGCATCAACAATTTGTTGTTTATAAGATCCATTATTTGTTATTTCCACAAAGGATTGATCTATATCTCCAATTTGTTTTGCAACAAATTTTAGAGGTTTTACACTTATGCCATTCTTGGGAGTAAGCAAATGCTTAATTAGAGCTTCGATTTTATTTTCATGAGTGAGATTACTCGCTTTCAAAGTAAGTGGAATCACTTTCAAAGCGCGAAAGGAAATTGAACTTGTTCACTTTCTATAAACTCAGTCATAACTCGATCGCCCTTCACAGGGTTGTATCCGATTTCGCAAGCATCTCTATAAAATAAAATGTCCTTGTCGACAACACCACGATTGTTGTCAATATCATAAGCTGAAATCTCTCCTTCACGATGATCCTTTAGTTGAGGTTCTATTTTTACAACATCCAATATCTGTAAGATATCGAAGATAAATATAAATGTGGTTGTAAGTTGTTTTTACAATAAAATGCCTATATTTCTCATTAATATGAAATATCAAATAGCATTCAAATGATGACACATATATGAAACTTTATATAATTTTGCTATTAAATGCAAGTTTTTCACCAATAAAATTTTATAAATAATTTTTCGTTTTTTTTCATGTATATTTATTTAAGGAAATCATTTAAAACATTACAAATTTATTTCTAACTCATTTCAATCATTTTCAAAGAATATTCATTGAATAGTTTGAATCGCTAAAGTTACTTACCTCTCCAGCCAAAGTAAACTCTGTAGCATCTGTTTGATAAACAGCCTCTACATTCACTATGTCACCAGTTTCAGGAACAAATGTTGTCTTTACTTTATCCAAGTCACATGTTATTGGTATATTTTCCAAAACAATTGATCGGCCGATCTTTGCCATTACCTTAGTGCATATACTACGCATATGAACATCATAAACTGCTTTATCTTCAGCAGTATTATTCTGTTCTAAAACTTGAGTGTCATTTTTATCCCACGATTCATTTTGAATTGAAATAATTTTCCGAATACTTATTTCACCATTCTCTTGTACATAACCAAGATACTGCACATTATGCCCAACCTTCAGGTTTGGGACCGTGTTCTGGTCAATACCAAAAGGAAATTTATCGTCAATTAGACCAGAGTTCGTAGTAAGTTTAGTAATTACCCCTAGAAAATACGAAACTTGAAGACTTGAGGAAAAAAGTAGAATTTTTCAATAATTACCTTTTCTTTCCACACAATGGGCTTTCTTTTCAAGTGAAGGTTTTGGCGGCTCCTCAGTATGCTCTTCATCGCTAGAGTTAGCAAAAGCTTCATTTATATTCGTTTTATTCAAACGTTTCAAAACTGAATCCTCTACTCTGTCTTTCTTGAAGAACCAATTCAATGCCGACGAAATCATCTTGTATAAACAGAATCTCAACCCACAAAAATGTTCTTGATTACCCTGTAATTGTACAAAACATTTTAAGATAAATTTTCTTTATATTGACTACAAAACATGGAATTTATGAGCGATCAAAAATACTACCTTAAACCGTCTATCTCAACCGACCGCCATTATAATACTGGACGAACGACCAACGAAGCAACATAACAAACGAAATTACGGTGTGAAGTCACACAGGGTTTAAATTTAACATACTGTCTGCCATAATGGCTGCTTTCGAAAAAAAATACAGGATAACACAAAAACCAAAACAGCAAGCGCAACACCTAGATTTATTAACGAAACACCAAGATTAATTATTGATTTGAAAACTAGTGTTGCATGGCATAGTGCTCTAAAGCAAATTTCTGGAACATTCCGTACCAAAATTTAAGATTATAAAAAAATACTCATTTTTTTTTGAAAACTGAAAAAATAGGATTTTTGAGAACTTTATGAATTTTTTTTTCATAACTTTTTGAAAATATTGAACTTTTTTCAAAGTAATCGCGCCGGCTACAAATTGGTACGAAACCCATAGAAATGCAGACTAGTGGTGCATGGCATCGTGCCTTAAGGAAAATTGCTGGAATTTCCCGCACCGTACCGAAATGATCGAGGCATATTTAATGTTTTCAAATAGCTGTAACATTTTCTAATACAAGAATTATATTAACTGAACTGCAAAGTTGAAATTATTTATTTAAAATATATAAGTGAGCTTCAGAACTTGAGACGGAATTAAAATTAAAATCTAATCTAGTGGGGTGCATGGCATCGTGCCTTAAGGCAAATTGCTGGAACTTTCCATACCGCAACGAAATATTCAAGGAATATTAAATGTTTTCAAATAGATTATTATAAATAAATACTGTAACTTTGTCTAATATTTATAAGAATTAAATAAACTGAATTGGGAAGTTGAAAATATTTGTTTAAGGTATATTAGAACTTAAGTCAGAATTACAATTAAAATCTGAATTATTTTTGATATACAAAGAAAATATTTTTCGAAAAAAAAAATTTATTTTTGAAAAAAAAATTTAAACTAAAAAACTTTTTCCAAAAGCAATTATTTTGTTAAAACAAGCAGAAAGTTCTTTAAATCATTCAAATCGGACGCTTAGTTCTCTCAAAAACTGCCATTTTTTGCATTTAGCTCTGATCTCCAAAACGGCTGGACCTGCCTTTGCCAAAAACTAATCACCACTTCGGCCCGTCATTACAAACTGAATGTTTTTTGGATCATTCAAATCCGATGCTCCGATCTCTCAAAAACTCGATTTCTATTTTCTGCATTCTTTGCTCTGTATCTCCGAAACGGCTGGACCTGCCTTTGCCAAAAACTAATTAGCACATCTCCATATAAATAGGAATCGAATGTTTTTTGAACCATTCAAATCGATTAATCCGTGCGCCCGAAAACGTGGAAAAAGAGTTATTTTGCCAACACAAGATTTTATCAGATCAATTCAATCAGCAGATCATTCAATTCGGATATTCCTATAGGATACTTTTACTTTTTCATTAGATTCCCGAAACCATAGATAAAAAAGAGTAGAGCTAGTCCTACTTCCTAAAAACTTAGTCAGTTTTTCATTTTTTCAATGCAAGTACAAAGTTTTTTGAATTATTGAATTGCAAATTTTGACACTTTTTGACACCGTATCTTCGAAACAACTGGACCTACCTTTGCCAAAAACTAATCAGCATATAGATAAATAAGCATAATAAACACGTCTCCTTGTCAATAGGAATCAAATGCTTTTTGAAATCATTGAAATCGGTTGATCCATAGTTGATCAGTGTTCTCAAAATCGTCGACAAAAAATTTATACGCATATTAAGGTGCGTCCACACCTAACGAACGAACACGTACGAACATGTCGAACAAGAAAATACAAAGAAGAACGAACAGGAACCCGAACGAACAAGAAAAATTCCAAACAAACGCCTCAAAGCAGTGAGGGCTTGAATCTTTTTGTTCGAGGATGTACCGTGAAACGTCAGATTTATTATTTAAAGTGGCGGGAAAGAGCAAAATTATTTAAAGTCATCAAATTTACAAAATTTGTCAATAACATCAATATCTTATTATAAACACAACATAAACTAATGCAGGACTGCACATTTTTACATCAAAAAAGAAAAATGTTTGTCTACATTCGTGGTAGCGTCCACACTGCACATACGAGAACAAACATGAACGAACAATTCCCTTTGATGTACCGACAAGTTGCGGAACATTGCTCGCCATGTTTATTTATGTTTGTTCGTGTTCGTTGTGACGCCACACTATGCTCGTTGCCGTTCGTTCTGGTACGAAATTCTTGCTTGTTCATGTTCGTTCGTTAGGTGTGGATGCACCTTTAAGGCAAATTGCTAGAATATTCCGTACCGTAATCGAAAATCTAGGTACGGAACTCAAAAAAATTACACAAAATGTGTACACATTATAAAAATCTCTATAAAATATCTGATAATTTGATATGCATAAGTCCAATAAACATTTTTGTTTAACTTATTTTTATTGAGAGTTCATAACCGCTGGACCTGCCTTCTCAAAAATTTAATCAGTTGTTCATTTTGTCAATACAAGTAAAATGTTTTTTGAATGATTAAAATCGGACGCGCCATTCTCTTAAAAACTGAGTTAACGTTTTTGACACTTTTTGCCCCGTATCTTCGGATCGGCTAGACCTGCTTTTGCCAAAAACTAATCAACATGTATCCTTATAAATACGAATCGAATGTTTTTTAAATTATTCATATCGGTTGTTACACTCACATACACACACACTCACACATACATCCAATTTTTCTAAGGTATGCCAAAATGTTCAAAAACCTGTGAAACGTAAAGGTATGTAAAAATTTTCATTTTCGATTTTTTTTTAATTTCTATAACTTACCCCATAGATAAAAGAAGAGTATACCCTGGTGGACTTACCCTACGGGAAGTTATTAAATTAAATGAATAATTAAATCTTCAATTTAATGAATAAATAATGTTTATGGTCATAAGTGCTATTGGGATTATGAGAATGAGTTTTAACGTAAACTTAATTACTCTTTACTAATAATTTATCGTTTGAATGATATTTTCAAATTCGGAAGAGAAACTAGTGGGGCGCATGGCATCGTGCCTTACGGCAAATTGCCCGTACCAAAAATTATTTTTTTTTAAAAAAGATTAACATTTTTGAAAAAAATTTACTCTAAAAAATTAGATTTTTGAGAAACTATAAATTTTTGACAAAAATTTACTTTTTTTTAAAAAAAAAAGACTTTTTGAAGAAAAGTGTATTTTGAAATACTTTGGAAATTCTGAACTTTTTTTCAAAGCAATCGTACTGCTTTAACTGCATAGAGACGAAATATCGAAGCGCGTAAGCGCCGCGCCGCCGTCTAACGGATAAGCATTGGAACGTAACCCATAGGAATGTAAACAAAATTTATACTTATTGTTAAAATCTCTATAAAATATCTGATAATTTGATGTGCATATGTCTAATGATCATTTTTGACCGCCAGATGGCATTTTTTTTTTACTTTTTTACTAGAACTCCAAAACCGCTAGACCTGCCTTCATGAAAATTAGATCAGTTTTTCATCTTGTTAATACAAGTAAAATGTTTTTTGAATTATTCAAATTGGACACTCCGTTCTCATAAAAACTGAGTTACCGTTTTTGGCATTTTTGCCCTGTAGACCTGCCACCGCCAAAAACTAATCAGCACGTCTCCTTATCAATACAAATCGAATGTTTTTTTAATTATTCAAATCGCTTCATCCGTGTTCCCGAAATCGTCGACGAAAATTTGTATCCGAACACACACACATACACACACATATACATCCATTTTTTCTAAGGTATGCCAAAATGTTCAGAAACCTTTGAAACGTAAAGATATATAAAAATTAATCATTTTCGATTTTTTTTGCGATTACTATAACTTACCCTACTGCCCTACGGGAAGTAAAGAATGTACCGTGTGTGAGTAACCTAAGCGTTTTCATTCGCTGGTTGTTGGTAAAAGAGTTTGATTCAAATAACAATCTGTCAAACCAAATTCATGGTCATTGTAAACACGATATACTTTTAGGTTATATATCAACATATATCAATGTGCAGAAAATTCTAAGAAAAACGATAAAGAATTTTTGCTTCGTCGTGTTTCTTTGAAATAAAATGGTAGACTCTGTATCATATAAAAATAACATATGCGTGGTATGTGAATGTGAAACTGACAGATATAAATGCACTACATGCAAGGCTAAATAGTAAGTGAACAACTTGTATTTGTTCATAAAAATGTTTTGAAGTATCTATTTTAAATATAACAATACATTTAATAACCAGTTTCTGTAAAAAAATTCTTATATCACCTTTTTATACATTCGAAGATTTCATTATTCGTGCTCTTTTGTCAAATGTTTTCATTATTTTTTTTTTAATTTTCAGCTGTAGTTTAACATGCTATAAAAAACATAAGGAGTTTCCTTGTGTACCAGAAAAAGAAGTAAATGACTCATCTGGCCACGATAACAAAAGTAAAGCAATTGATGATTATTTATTTCCGACAGAAGACACAGTACCTCGACACACATTAAAGCTGCTTGGTAAAGAAATTATTTTTAAAAAACATGTTTTAAAAGTTACTTGGTTTAACATATATTCAGTTTTTTCATATTACACCTTTTGCTTCCAGACTCCGACAAAACAATTAAATCTCTATTAACAAATCACCATTTACGAAATTTACTTGTATCTATAAAGAATTCAGAAAAACCAGCAAAAGCTATTAGTGACGCAATGTTAATACCTTTATTTGTTGAGTTTAGTGATGCTTGCCTTAAAGTTGTTGAACCTGAACCTATTGAAGGAGTAGATGCAGAGTAAATATTACGTTGTGTGTGTGTGTGTGTTTGTATATACAATTATGTGTTTTATATTTGTTGTGATCAATTAATAAATGTTACAATTATATATCTATACTTGTTTTGTAATTTTTTTATTTATGTTTTGGTGCAACTCTACAAAAAGCACAAAATCCTTTTTGCAAAACTTGTAGTTCATAATCATCAGTATGAAAAACCTATAAAAGATGTTAAATTATTTTGTGTTTAACTTAATTCAATTCAATTATTATAAATCTTACACAGTAACACGAATGACAAATTGTAATAACCATTCCTGGCATCATATTTTTATAATATTTTGTTGGAATTGGTGGATTGTTATGTACTATTAGAACATATCTTGGATCCAATTGTTGTAATGCATACCGATTTAATATTAAATCCTGAAAGTAAAAAACAACATTTTAATTTTGGGGAAGAAACGTCAAAAAAACTACTCATTTTCTCAAAAATTGTTGATTTTTTGAAATTAAAATACTTGTCGTAAGCCCATAATATTTCAGTAAGTTCTATAAGACCATGATATATATCGCCAAAAAATGTTCCATAAAAATCGGCCTAAATTTTTTTTTCAACAGTTAATTATAAGAAAACTACTCGGTAGATTTTCACCTAAAACTAATCAGTATGATTCCCAACTAATATCTTTCGAGCTGTTTTTGATTTTTTAAATCGATTCGGTAGTATGAGTTTAAGTATGGACGAAAAGTTTAACACGTTTTTCTAAATTACAAAGAAACGGCTCGACTGATCGAACTGAGAAACGATAATCCTCGTTGAGATGCATGAAATGACTTTTAAATTTTTGATATTGGTTCAGGCGTTTTTGAGAAAACGTCGATCAAAGGTATAATTTTAACAAATGCCAAAAAAACGATACTAATTTTTGCCGAATTTTTAAAGTTAGACGAGTTGTCGAAGGACCGTAATACTTTAGTATGATCTATAAGATTACGGTATCTACCCTTAAAAAAATAAAAATCGCTGAAATTTTTTTTAACACTTTAAAACAAAAAAAAACGGCTCGGCAGATTTCTACCAAAAACTAATCAGCAGGATTCCCAACCAATATCTTTCGAACGGTTTTTGAATTTTCAAAATCGATTCAGAATTGCAAGCTAAAACGTGAACGATTTTTTTCACTTTTCTGCTATTTATGAAGAAACGGCTTGGCCGCTCGTTGCACAAAACTGACAAACAATCGAGATGCTTTCCAATGGCTTTAAAATTTTGAAATCGGTCCAGCCGTGTTTGAGAATACGTCGATTTACGCAAAAAATCTGTTCACACACACACATACTTTTTCCAAATTTGGTCTCATTCGATTCAGAATGGCTTGAAACTTCGAAAAACATAAATTTAGCGAATAGGATTTTTTATTTTCGGGAAGTTTTCGGGAAGCATCCATAGAACCGATTCATTAATTTTTTTGTAATAATATCAAAGTTTATTTCAGTCTCCTACCAAAATTATGGTATAAAAACATAAGGAGTTTCCTTGTGTACCAGAAAAAGAACTAAATCGCTTGTCTGACAACGATGACAAAATTCTAAAAGTGGCATTTAGCCGCTATTATAATTAACAAAGCACATGATAATTATTTATTTATTAACATACTTCTTGCAGTAATACTTCTGTAAATGGATCTCCCATTATTGTCATTTTGTCCTTAGTGCTCGTTTCAACATTTTGAGATTCTATTAATTTTATAGCCTCTTCGTCGCTTATATCATCTTCAATGAAAAACTCCACCAAGGGCAGCACTTCTACAAATATATTATTAATTGATCAATATTCAAATGTCGTAATATAATGAATATATTCAGTTTTACATACCGAATGATACAAACGAATATACAAATTTATGTTTACAAGAACTGCATGAAGAACCTTGTAAATGCTGACTGTACGCGGAGCATCGATAGCATAATGGTAACAAATCTTCAGGATCGTGAAAACCGCCTTTTATACTTCGACCTGTTAGCAAATGAATCTGAAAGATTATTAATTTACATTAAAATTCAACATATTTTTAATCAAATTAAATAAACTTCAACCGATGTTTACTTAAAAACGAATTTTTTAACTTTAAGGGGGGAGTCTGCTTTAGAGGGTTGAAAATCGGTTTTTTGTTTTGCAAAAATGTCTTTCAACACTAGCCAAGAATATATCCCTAAAATTTCAGAAACAAATTTAAATAATTTTTGGAATTACAGAAGAAATAGTGAGCAAGCGCCAAGCATGTATACGAGCGGAACCAAAACTTCGAAATTTCGAAAATTCGATTTTTTTCGATTCTTCCTAATTGGCGGAAAATATAGGAAAAAAACTAATCGACCTATCAAATCGAGACAAAATTCATAGTATTCAATATTAAATTCTATTCTAGTTGAACCTAAAAAACTTATGAAAAAAGTTATAATCAACCCACTTTTTAAGCAAACTAAATTTAGTGAAATTACTTAAGTGAAATTTTGTATAAAACATTTTTTTTTCAAGTTGCAAAAAATTGTTGAATTTCTCATTTTTTTCTGGATTTTTTAGGTTCCACTAGAATCTGTACTATTTAAAATATATTTATTTAGATTTTTTTGTTTCGGATGGAAATTGTTCCGGTGAGTTGGTGATGTTTCTAAATAATTATTTAGAAAAATTTTAAGTTTTGGAATTAACTTTGGAATTTTGGAAGTTAAGTCTTATTGAACTATAACAGTGTTTTGAATAATATCTTAGATAATTATAAAAATCTTTGTTACTGGAAATGAATTGCTTTTTACCATTGCTTGTATTTAGGACATACTAATACAAATTCATTCACTTTTTTTCAAAAGAAGTTTTAATAATAGTATTTTTTACTAAAATTATGAAAACTAATATTCTTTGTAATACCTCAGCTTGGTCTTGTAAATTTGCAGGCGCTCGTAGACCTTGCAATCTGTCTATTACTTGTAAAGCTAATTTGTTTGCTCCTAAGATTCTCGCATGTTTTGAAAGAACAAATAGGATAGAGCTAGTTTTAGTAAAGAATATAATATTCTTTATAAAATTTAATTATCCTTATTAGAAAAACACTTAATTCTGAAAATCTTAGCTGAAAAAATCAAATCCCGAATCGTTGCTGCAATAGGAAGCAAAAAGTTTTACTAGCTCTGAGTTCACATTCAAAATACAAATTACTAAGTAGTTAATTAGCAGCATGTATTTTTGCTTACACCTCTTCAGATATAGTTTTTAAAATAACTAAGTAGTATAGTTAAAAAAATAATTTAAATGTCTAAAAAGGATACTATTGCGAAATTCCAGGTAATGTTTTTCCTTTAGTCTCATTTGCCAAAAATCTGCTTATATTAAACAAAACATCAGGCGTCTGCATGCGAAATGGTTCCTATGGAAATGATGAATCAGTAATCACTAGATATATAAAACGAAACGAAAGCTTCAGAAATGACATATATTTTAGAGCAAATATTTTTTTTAAGAGCTAAAGAATATTTATGTTAATAAAAAAGTCTTCAACAAAAAGCATCAAATTAGATAAAATAAATTTAATAAAATTCGTTTCTTCCACCTTTATTATTTTTTTTAATTATAGATTTAAAATAAATTTTGTAAGTTTGTTATTATTTCTATTAAATTTGATTTTATCTGTGGTCTATAAACTGACCTTATAAAATGCCATTATTAATTGATAAGCACACCTCTGAGATCATTAAATTTATCATTTGCTATGGCAATTCAATGGTGGATTTTCACTCGATGAGAAGTGAAAAAAGAGTACAATAAACTCACTTGTAAATACTGATGAATTGATTCATATGCATAATATATAGCAGCAGTAGATCTGAGTTCATAGTATTCATCTAAATGTATTTCTTCTTTGCTGATCCTAAAATATCAACCATTAAGCATCACTATTAACAATAAATGCATAACTATTATTTTATCAATTAAGTAATGAATAAAAAAAAATATTTTAGTAATTTTTCACTTAATAGAAAGATTGCCAATGTTCACTAGTGGAAAACATCATTCCTATGGAAATGATTATCTGACTATTTCTACAAAAACGGGGAGAAATAGGTATTTCAGTATGAAACAAATTCTCAGGAAAATGACATCGTAGAGATATCTAGGGCTTACAATACTGGGATTCCATGATCCCGAATACCGGGATCCCGGACAATTTTTGTCCAGTATTCAATACCGGTATTGATACAAAAATACCGGTATTTCGGAATTACCGGTATTTTGTTAAAAATTGAACTTACGCAATACACATATACAAGTTTTACACTGTGTATGTATATTGCCGAATCAACTCACCCGAGTATGGCACATCGGCAAGATAAAGCGATTGTTTATATATTATATACGACCTAATGATTGCAACTCATTTATGAAAAATGAAAATTATTAGACGTCTACGTGCATTGTCCTCATATCTAATTCGTGATCAATGATTTTGAACAAAATATAGGTACAATCGACAAGTTATAATTCTCTATATTGCATATCTTCCTATCAATCATTCGTATTTATTTAAATAAAGAGAACTTACAATCATTTCCATAAAGAATTTACAATGTTTTTAAATCAGATGCCGTATGAAAAAAATAATTGTAGTAATAAGCAAAGAAATTGTGCGCATAATTGGCAAAAAATATAGTCCAATAAATGCCACCGAGAAAAAATAGGCAAAAGGTGATTGATTTTGTGCAATTGTGCACTGGTTTAAATATCAAAGACGATTTTTAAAATAAATTTGTGCAAATGAAAATCTGATAATTATATTATTATTACCTTTGTCTGGATAATTCCAATGATTGTACAGCTTTCAGCCACATAAAATAACCAGCATCCTTGTAACGTTTCTCACAAATAGCACATTGAACCAGTTTCGATAAGAGCCTAAATGCTTCATCAGACTGGCCTGCTCTTATAAATGCTTAAAAAACAAAAGGATTAAAAATACATTTAGTAAAACATGTTATTTATTTTAAATAGCTCATTCATACCTTGATTAGCTTCAACAAACTGATCTTTCTCGGCTAACCATTTTGCATATTCAAGATGTACATGCTTTATGACATCAGGCATTTGCTCAGCTAATCTAAAAACAATATAACTATGTTATGTATTGCACTAATTAATAAATAAAAATTAACAAATAAATAGCAAATGGTAAAATATTCAGTTATCATGTAGATCAAATTAATCGGTAAATAGCAATTTATGTGAACTAATTACTTAAGTAACTAAAATATTGAACTAGAAGTGGTATTTTACCTTAAAGAAAGTTGCATAAGCTTCACAATATGCATAAATAATCGACATAATCATCGATTGTAGGTCTATATTATTTTTACAAATTCGTTTAAAGCATGTCAGACTCTATAACTATCATTAGACATTAATCACTTCACAAAGTTTAATTAAAAACGTATTTTTTAAAAAAAAATTAAATAATTTAAATGCAAAGAAAAGACGCGGTCGAGCCTGTTCAAAATTTTTAGCAAAAACGTTAATGATAAGTTGTATATTCCATGGAAGTTGTATATTCCATGGAAAGTAAATAAACTTCTCTTGTAAAGTTAAAAATTTAAATGTATTTAAAAGCTCCTTAATTATTATATATTTGCTAGTAAAAGTTTAAACCAATTACTTTTCAAGAAATAACTCATTGTGAATTCCGCGGCTAATATTTTTTTAAATATTTAAATATTGACTTAAACTGCTGCTTTTTAAGCGCCTGCGATACCTAAATATTTCAAAAAAAATCTGAAGTTAGTACAGTGCACATAAAATCATACTTTAGGAAACATCGAGATAATATTATGTTCAAACATACATAATAATGTAATCTTGAAATCTAAAATAATCATATATTATATATCCTATTAAAACAGTAAATCTAAAAGCTCTTACTTGAAAGCATCTTCCCATTTTTCAGCCTCGATATGCAACTGGACAACTTGTTTATCGTCTTCTAGTTTTTGATAAATTTCAGCAGCTAAAGGAATCGCCTTTAACCGCCTTAAATTTTGCGCTATTAATTCCAAAGCTGGTTTTTCTGATTTATCCAAACGCCTTCCGATATCTAGAAGTCTAAAAATAAAAAATACGATAATTAAAAATAAATGGTTTAGGACAAACAATATAACGTAGCAAAGCTATATAAATGATATATGAATGGAAATGAAATTAACAAAAATATTTGAAATATTTCACTCTTCACTCTTTTGAGGCCTTATATTTATTGGCAGAGTTTTATGATTTATATTTTTATTTTTTATTTAGGCGTTCAAAATTTACATATGGAAGTTTTACGTTTTAAACCATTATATTTCCTAATTTGTTTTAAAAAATATAGGGTTTCTCAAAAATATTGGAATTTTAAAAATTTTTGAAAAATGCTAAATTAAAACATAAAAAATGGAGTTTCAAGACTATCAATATTTTAAGTGCCTACAAGTGTTTAAGATAAAAAAATCTAAATCCAATTTTTAGGAAAAGATAAAAATAATTCTTTTAATTTCGAAAGTTCATTAAATGATTTAAAAAAAATCAAGCTTCTAAAAAACTTTTATGGTTAAAATTTTGAGATAAACATTTTTTTAATTATAAAGGATATATTTCCCATGCATATAATGAATGAATTAATTAATTGAGCAGTATCTAGCAATCTATTAACTTACACGTCTGGCCAGTCTTGATCAGCGACAACCTGTACAGCTTTCAAAGTTTCGCCTGCTGCCAACAGCAATTCTGCTGCTGCTCTTGGCTCCTGAACTGATCTGGCCCATTCAGCTCGAAGTTTGATCAGACTCTTGGATTCGGATTCGCTTGCTGCACTGTTAGCATCTAGACATTCCTACATATTTATCGAAATAAAATGATTTAAAAATAAATTAATGATCAGTTAATAGTATCATTCATACATTCACTACACTACAATATATTGTATGAACATAAACAATATTTGTGTTTTTTTGGCATATGGAGTAATGGTATAATGGGCATAATATTCAAGATTGTAGTGCATTCTGATTTTGTTTTAGAAGTTTTTATTTTTGAAAATTATTTTGCAATATGCCCCCTATAATTGTAATATTGCCCCCTAAAACTGTAATATATCAATTATTATTATGATTTACCACACGTATAAATTACTAAATACAGTTTTACTCAGAATCCTTTTTTGTTATAAAATTGAATAGGAAAAGAACAATTTTAGCACAATTTACATCGTAAAAATTCTAATGAAAGGCTAGTATAAAGGATTAACCAGATGATTACATAAAATTAAATCCTCATACCTGGGCTAAATCAAACATTCTGAGATCGCTATACATATTCATAGCTTTAACATTTTCACCAGCGTTCTGATACAGACGTGCTGCTACTTTGAACTTGCCTAACCAGGCGCAGATTGTTGCTTTTATTGAATCAGGATGCTCGTTATTTTTTTGACGCACCTAAATAAATAAAAGAAAATAAGTTATATTTATTAGATAAAGTTCACGTAAAATTTTGGTATAACTGAAATCCTCTAGAACCGAATGGAAGCAAGAGTTGCTTGGCATACGGAAATAATTTGATCCGGTATCTGCTCCGGTTCTAGAGAAACTATAGTATATCCTATATTTATATTTACCTCTAAATCATTTATTAGTTGTAATTTCTCTAAATTCCTAATTCTAATATATGCATTTCGTGCTATTTCCAAATTCAATGATTCTAAAGCAGCTTCAGCCAGTGCTTCCCAATCGTGCGTTGGCACTCCGAGACAAGCAATTTCATAAGCTTCACTAGAAAAATCATTTACACATAAGTAGTGTTAATATAAAAATTTAAAAATTTTGATATTTTTGGATTAGTTTTGGAATCCACTTTAAGAACCGTCATTTTCATAAAAAATGTTTGGGCAATACAAACTTAATAAATTTTAATAAACAAAATCAGAAAACCTGTATCCTGAAAATAGAGCAAAACTAATTGATCAATTATATTTATATAGATTTTGACTTTCGATTTTGTAGAATTATATGAATTGAATATTTTTATATCAAACCCACCTGTACAGACCACAATCATGATATTGGTACATTGTCGCACTCAATGGAACTTTGACATCAGCTACAGTACTGCCTTGAAGATAAAAAGCAGTAGACCCTGCTAGACCAACTACCATACCTCCGTTTTGAGACCAAAACCTAGGACTGCAAGTTCCGGCTCTAATTGCCATCCCAGAAGAACCAGAATGACATAACAAGGTTTCGTATTGGATATTCCAAGCCACGGATGACACATTATTTTCCTAAGTCATAGAAATGATTCTATTCAAAATTTAGTAGAGAATATCTAAGAACAAACTTCTAAGCAAAAATGTGGATCTAAGACTGAAAGCAGTGAGAGTCTACCACAAATTTATTCGAATCAGATTTGCCAGCTCAGGGTCTATATTTAGTATATAATCTATTAATTTAGTATTAGCCATTGTAATTTTATTGAGTATATTATATATCGTGAAAGTTTCTGCTAACCTGATATAAAAGATTATCTGTTCGAAGATCTCGGACTAGAAGCTTATTAGATTCATCCACAACTGCCAATTTCGTCCTAGACAAGCTAAGATCTAAGCATCGAACAGGACCATTAATCTGGGTCACCTTTATTGGCAAAGGATTGTCTACGAATATACGCCAGACCTAAAGAAAATATAAAATATGAATTAAAATGCATCTTTTTCTGAATGTGACACTAATTTGTCACCTGGCCATTTTTTAGACCCAACAATATGCCTTCTCGTCCAGGAGGCCCACCAGTAACTTTAATGTACCTTATATAACTATCCAATTGCCATTCACGTTCCAAAATTCCAAGAAATGTCATGCTTTGCAATCTTTTTTCTTGACACAGAAGTAAATGTTTTGCACACACAACCTTTTTTATTAACATTTAATTAATAGATAACTTGCAAATATCATAGCACTATAATTTTAGAATCTGATGCATACCAAAAAACTGCATACGATTTGCTTGGAAATTTTGTCTTTAACTTTATAATGCATTGGTTGATTTTCAGCAGAATTTAATTCATACACGACTACACGTTCTGGTAACTGGATCTGAAATATATTTAAAGCTATGAATAGTTTAAAAACACTTAATCAGTCTTAGCATTTGGCGTTGTTTAAAAAAAAATTGCCTCGCGTAAAACTCTTCAGATTGATGAATTGCGCAATTAATTAAATTAAAGCCTACTTATTGCATTGGTTAAAAAAATTATAATTAATTTAATATTATAATTCAGTGTAGAAAACTCATCAATATTATAACTTTTTATAACAGTTATACTATAATGAAATGATTAAATATATGAATATAATGTACAAAATTTAGTTGGCTGTATAATAAAATATGAAAAAACATCTTACTGCTAGTCTGTTTCGATAAATAGCTATTTTGTTGACAATATCTCGACATTTGATTCTGACTTTCTGTCCTGAAACTAAATGCTGTATTATTACATCACTCAGGTTTTCCCGATAAGCATATCTTTCTCTGTAAAGAGCATGTACTATAGTGAAATTTAGCTGAATGCAACATATCGTTCCATCTTGACGACCTATGGCCTGCGAAAAGATCGTTCAATATATTTAATATGAATTTAAAAAAAAGCAATTTATTAGTCGTTAATCTTACAATAACGTTGGCATTTGGGTGAACCTTGGCACACCACACCCAAGACGGTTGATCATCCAACGTTGTAAGTCTTGCACCGTCCTTTGCCATCAAAATTATCGAATTACTGCAACCTCCTATTAACATATATTCACCACCAGGAAAATGGCTAATAAACAGAGGATTAAAACCTAAAAATCATATTTCAGTATGTGAATTTAAGTATTACAGTACATTTTAATTCATAGCAGTACACAATAATATTTTACAAAAAGATTAGAATGATATATCCGTTAGTATATGAGAGAATCTATGCAATAAAATAATGTAAAACGAAGGTAAAACAGCTTAAAAATTAATAAATAAACGAATAAATGTGTTGTCAGGAGTAAGTATGATAAAATCAACATGTTTGTTTATTTACCTAAATGTCGTTCCTTATTTATAGCTTGGCCAGCTAGGGAATAGAAAGACAGCTGTTGGCCCCAATCGCCAATTACTAAAGTATCTGTGGAGCCAACTGAAGGTGGTGCAAAAGCTACAGACCAAATAGGTTTACTTGAACGTTCTATTTTAAACTTTTCTTCGCCAGTCTTCGGGAGAGAATATTTGAATTAATAGATATAACAAATAGTAATTTATAGAATCAATATAAAAATAATAATAAAACAAATATAAGCTTAAAATTATATATTTCTATTCCATCACCACGCCCTATCCCATTATTAACTTCTCGTAGGGTAAGTTATAGTAATTACAAAAAAAAAATTGAAAATATTTTTTTTACATATTTTTACGTTTCAAAGGTTTCTGAATATTTATGCATACTATAGAAAAAATTGATGAATATATGTAAGTGTGTGTGTATGTATGTTTGGATACGAATTTTCGTCTACAATTTCGAGCGCACGAATCAACCGATTTGAATGACCCAACAAACATTCGATTCCTATTGAAGGGAAGATGTGCTGATTAGTTTTTGGCAAAAGCAGTTTCGAAGATACGGGTCAAAAAGTGCAAAAAACGGTAATTTAGTTTTTGAGAGAACGCCCGATTTGAATGATTCAAAAAACATTTTATTTATATTGACAAAGAAAAGAATTGAATATATTTTTGGTAAGGCAGGTCTAACGGTTTCGGAGATACTGAGGAAAAAGTAAAAAAAAAAATATTTGGCGATCGAAAATGATCATTAGACATATGATCATCAAATTATCAGATATTTTGAAAATGAGTACTAAGTTTGTTACAGTTTTTTTTGGGTTCCGTACCAAGATTTTTAAGTTTTAATGTTCACTTGTACGGTTCAAACAAATATCAAAATTTTCAGAAAAAAATTTTTTTTCAAAATTTTCAAATATATACAGTTTTATACTTTAAATATAAAATTTAAATTTTCAATTTATTTTAAAAGCGTATATATCTCATATGCGTTTTTCTAATCGTGAGTAATATATCCTCAGATAGATTCATTCGGCATGTTAATGTAAACATTCTCAAGTGTTTTATGCGATAAGGTCGTTGCTATATAATATGAGCTATAATTATCTATTTTAAAATATTTAAAACAATTGTTATTAATCCTTGATCAATATATTTATTGTTAGTGATTTTTTTTCTCGAGTATTTAATTATGGTACGGAAAGTTCCAACAATATGTCTTAAGGCACGTTGCTATGCACCACTAGTGATTAAATCCTCAATTTAAAGAGTATATTTTTCTTACCTTGTTTCGTATAGAAACGTGTCCGCTAACCAATCCAAGTGCCAAAAACTGTCCATCATTTGTCCAAGCACATGATGTTATCCTATATGAAGATCTATATTTCTGGACCGACTTCTGTTCGGATGACCAAATGGCATAATCAGATATTGCACAGGATGCAAGCTGGTGAGAAATTGGATTGTGAGCTAGGCACTGAATAGCTTCTGCATGTCTACATAAAATCAATTATTTCAGTAGAAATATATAGTATTAAGATATAAATATGCTGTATTTATCGTAAAATACGCGATTTATGCATTTATTATATTGTTGAAATAATTTTCATATTTATACATCGTTCACGAATCATGCCTAGTTGTCCAGTCATTTAGGCAAGAATCTCGGAACTCGAGATACATAGTTATAAGTCTGTAAACACTTGTATTTTGCATCCTAAAAGTTGTCTCAAAACCTACATATGGTAGGTGTACGCAACATATGCAGGTTTTGAGACAACTTTTAGGGTGCAAAATACAAGCATTTACAGCTGGGTATCTCGAATTCCGAGGTGAACTTACTATAATGACTGGTCTTTATAACTTGGATACGATTTTGATCGACTACGACTATAATTATAAGTCTACTTAATATTCAATATATAAGTACGAGTATTTCAAAACTCCTTCCATCTTTGATGACCAAATGATAACAGTTTTATCAGCTCCTCCCGAAGCAAAGTTTTTGCCATCTCGTGCATAAGCTACACAGTATATATTATCTTTATGTCCTTTTAAAGTGTGTAGTAAGGATCCATCATTCGGATTGTATACTAATATTTTGTCACCTGCACCGACTACTAGTTGGCTTCCATCGGGGTTGAAACATAGTGAATGTATTCTAGAAAAAAAAATTACAAGAATTGAAATGTAATTACATATGGCTTGAAAATCACTTCCAGCTATGATTCCTGCGGCAAAGTTTGTTTGCAATAAAACATATAAAATTGCAAAGTGATTTGCAATCGGAAATCTTAATGATTTTTTATAAACTACACACTAATGTCATAAAATTAACCCGTAAAACTGCATTCTATCAATATTTGCTTCACTATGTATATCACATTTCAGACATATTCAATCAATGTTTAAAAAAATTACGTACGGTGGTGCATCATATTTATCCCCTTTGTGAATTTTTTCAGTCCATTTTATTATTATACGCATTTTAGTAATATACTTTATTAAAAGTTATAAAACTTCTCAATTTTTATTTTAAATTGTATTTTTACATCAAATTGTTTTGTTTACTTCTTCGGCGTTGCCTAGCAGCAAATATTTTGTTCTGCAAACAGGTGTTAAATTGGGAAGTAGCATTTCACTTGACGTTTGATGTTATTGCGCAAGTCAAACTAAATTACTTTAACTAGTGGTGATTGGCACCGAGCTTTAAGGCAAATTGCTGGAACTTCCCTCAGCCTAACGAAATGTTCGAGAAATATTAAATGTTTTCAAATAAATTAGATTATTATAAGTACTGTCTAATATTTATAAGAATTATATAAACTGAATTGCAAAGTTGAAATTATGTATTTGAAGTATATAAATGAGCTTCAGAACTTTAGCCAAAACCAAAATTAAAATTTGAATATTTTTGATATACAAAAAAAATGAAGCACAATTTTTTTCCAAAAGCTATTATTTTGTCAAAACAAGCAGAAAGTTTTTTGAATCATTTAAATCGGATGCTTAGTTCTCTTAGAAACTGCCATTTTTTGCACATTTTGCTCGGTATCTCTGAAACGACTAGACCTGCCTTTGCCAAAAACTAATCACCAATTTTCCTAATCATTACAAATTGAATGTTTTTTGGATCATTCAAATCGGATGTTCCGTAAATCTTAAATTCTCAGTTCAAGCCCAAATCAATGTCTACCTCCAAATATTCCTTTATAATTCAGACATTTTTATATGCTTTTGTTGAAAATGCAATATATACCGCCCCCTTTACATTGCCCTTAGATTGCAAGTTTATAACTTCTGTTACTTGTTACATAACGGCATTTGGTTACATTTAATTAACATTTGTTATATAACTTTGTAACTCACAAGGTTCATTGCGGCAACATTTAGTGTTTACTGGGCGCATTTCCCATTTTCTTTCGTTTGCCACTAAGTTATAAAATTCTAAAACACATATAGATTTTATCCCATGCTATTTCCATAAGAAACTTTCGTTGGAGTGTGGACTATCTTAAGAGTAATATTAAGAGTTAATTAAAATTTTCAGAGGATTTTTTTATCAATTTGGAAGCAAACCAAAAACGATTATACATCCATATGCTTATATAAGTTTACTAGCCTGAAATTCGAATGAAATCGTTAAACTTCAGCAACCGAAAATTAATAGAAAATCAAGAGAAAAAAAGTAATGAATGAAAATAAAAATAATATTATTTCAGTAACGAGTTTTAGATACTTTACTTATATAGTAATTTTACAAATTATATTTCCTGAAATAGTACACTTAAATTAGTAAATTTTATTTAACTCTTTAATTACGGCGGAGGTTTCTGCAAGAGTGTTCAAGCCAAAAAGCTGTTTAAGTATTTGTTTCACGAATGTTTTGAGATTTTCCAATCATTATTATCAATGAAAATGTATTTATAAATAAAAAATGCAATTCTAAATAATTAAACCCCACAATAAAAAATTAGAATAAACAATAATGATTAACTCATAATGATAAATTTTGAAATCGAGACAATGGATGTTTATAGACGGCACTCGTACACACAAGTCGTCAAACGGGTATTGCATATAGTGGGAAAAAGATTAAACTACGAAACTTACCCGAGAAGTTCATTTTTAATAAATATTTTTACCCCCCCTACTCCTTCATTTATAGTAGTTTTTTATTTAAATTTTATTGCTTCCTACTCCAATACTCTGTACAAGAACCGCAATAATGATGCTGCAACTGCAACATCCAGTATCCAAATCCATATCCATCCACTTTCAATACGTATTTCAATTAATATTTACTTTTGTTCGCTTATTTTTTGTGTAAGAAAAATATTTATTCCATATAATTTATAAAAACTTGATAAACAATATTTATCATTAGTCACTGGCAGCTTCTTCCCAACGCTGTGTCTCTTACAACTGTTATCACTTAAACTTTAAATACATATTTTGTGTGATTTCCTTATAAAATTAAATTAAAATTTAATATTTTGAGTGTAAAATTTATCTAAACATATTTGAAATTAAAGTGATATTTGCATATGTTTGTGAGATAGTTTAACAAGAAGACAGCGACAATGAAATTCATATTCATCATAGTATTTTTAGGTAAGTGCAACATATCGCATTCACAATCAAATTCATATGTATATGAATTTTGTTGCTGAAAAAAATAATATATTCCATTTATATATTATTTAGACTTATTGTTAGCTTTAAATATTTTAAACATATATTCATATATACAAAAAATATTTTTAATTATTTTCTCATTCATACATATTTCTTACGTTTCAGGGGCATGGGATGCCCCTTCTTCAGAATCATAAAATCTATTTTCTTTATTAAACACTTACATGAAATTTTACATTCACTAAAATTATAAGCAAAAATGCGTCGTATTTTAAATGCTTACCATTGTACCAATAAAAACTTAAAGCGCAGAAGAAAAATAAACCCACAAATTATAATAAATACTACACAAGTACTACCCCTATAATATTTATCTTAAAAAGCTTGCAAGATAATTATTACTAAGATATTAATTACTCAGATGAATTAGTAAAAATTGTTAATAATTTAAAATATATTGCAAATTAAATATTCATGAATATCTTATTAGAAATTTCTTATTTATGATGCGCACTTGTTCACGCTTTCATGAAGTGCACAAGGACAAATAATATAGAATATTTTATAATCAAGGTTTATACATTTTTCTTTTAAATGTTAATAATTTTAAATGTTATGATAATAATAATCATATAAACAATTTCTACTAATTTCAGAAATTTATCAAATAAATAATATTTTTCTTTGAATAAATAAAATAGATTTTTTTTAATTGATTAAAAATTGTGTGACTTTAATTCTCATATAAACTCTTAGTACCTTGGATACTATCATCCGTTCATTCACTCCACTTCAATGCGTTTAACGAACTTTTCCGATGCAAGATATTCAATAACCGTTTTAAAATGCTCTTGGATCGCATGCACATATAAACATACATACATCATACAATATATATATATATATATATATATATATATATATACGAGTATATATATATTTATATGTTTTAGTCAATAAAATTCAGAAATAAAGCGTGCGATTGTATCGATGCGAGTATTAAACATAATATAGAAATTTTCTTGATTACTCATAAATTAAATAAATATAATTTTACTGTTGGAATGAAGTTATATTTTTATAATATATTAATAATCAAAAAATTATTCAAATTTCGCAGAAATAAATCAAATGGTGCATCTAGATCTAAACTCTAATGCACTCTAGACTAGTCTATGGTGCATACTTTTTAGTTTTTTCCTATTGTTTTCTACTTCTTTATTTAATCTAAAACAAGATAAAATACTATTTCAATATAAAATCTGATTGAATTATTATATTCAGGGGGCTCATTAATTACGTGAGGTTTCTCGAGAGAGGGGGGGTTTAGTAGTAAGATATCACATGTATTTTTTTTTAACTAATTTTTTTAAAAAAAGTTCAAACATTTTCAAAAAAAATCGAAACTTGTACAGTTTTTTCACGTAACTAAAAATGCACGTGATGTTTCTTGGAGAAGCGGGGAGGGAATTTTGAAGATCACCAAGGGAAAGTTCGTATAAAGTACAAAATATTATGTTATAATATTAATTATGTTTACAAAATAAATCACTATTACGAATAAAATTCAAAATTGATTTATGTAAAGTTTCTTGATAATATTATTGTAAAATATTTCGTTTTCTACAATAAAATAATGTGTTTATATTATGTCAAATTTATATAATTTATGTACAACAAAACCGTGCTTTTTTAATGATTTCACAGAAATCTTTGTTGATAAGAAAAACCCATAGAATAACCTCTGACCGTATTAATTTTTGATAATAACATACGTATAGATGTATGCTTATCAATGTAAATTGATAATTTGATGTTTGTACTAACGTATAATATATATATATATATATATATATATATATATATATATATTAGGGTGGTCCTTAAAATGGTCATTTTCGAATTTCCTTGCTCCCAGGGGCTCAAATGGTTCCAAATAGATAAAAAACAATTCTCTGAAAGTTTTAGCTCTTAATATTAACGTTTAGATAGAGCGCAATTCAATCAAAGTTTGTATGGAAAGAGCATGGAAAAAAATTTGAAAATTAAAAAAACATGCGTTAGGTGTAACATAGCGACAAATGAATGAGTTTTATTCATTCATTTGTCGCTAAGTTATACCCAAAACATTTTTTTTAAACTTTCAAAAAATTTTCTATGCTCTTCCCATACAAACTTTGATCGAATTGCGCTCTATCTAAACGTTAATATTAAGAGCTAAAACTTTCAGAGAATTGTTTTTTATCTATTTGGAACCATTTGAGCCCCTGGGAGCAAGGAAATTCGAAAATGACCATTTTAAGGACCACCCTAATATATATATATATATATATATATATATATATATATATATATATATGTTGTTCGACACTTATTAGTCTCGTTAGATTCCGACTGGATTTTACTAATTCTTATTACATTCCTACTTCAATATAACTCAAATGTCGAACAAATAATGTAAAGTAAAATGACATGATCAAATAATGCAGTAAAATTTTCTAATTCGAAGTGGATTTGTTGGACTAAATTGTTAAATCATTAGCAAACCCCATACCAAGTATCATTAAAATCAGAGTTTTTTCTCACGTATCAATTACAAAAATCAATCTTTGTCCAACACTAATCAATCAGCACGATTCCCAATATCTTTCGAATAGTATTTGAATTTTCAAAATCAAGTTAGAATTTTTGGCTAAAACTATTAGGACGAAAAATTTTGCACTTTTCTGCTAATTTTAAAGAAGCCGTTTCTTTGTACTAAAGCTGATTGCACCAGAAAACTAATAAACGCGTTTACCAAGTTTTATCGAATGGCTTTTAAATTTTTGAAGTGGGTTCAGCCTTTTTTGGAGAATACGTCGATGAAAGATCTAATTTTAACAAACGTCAAAAAATGCTACTCATGTTTTCAAACTTTGTCGACCAAAAAAATCCAATAACCCTACAAAATCAGTTCTTGTATAATAAATTATACCTCATGGTTTATTTATCAACAGGTGTATATATAAGCTATGTTGCGCCATACAATCGTTTTAGACGACAGGGTTGGTCTTGGGGCCAAACACAGACTTCAAGACCAATTGGAAACACCCAGCAGCCTTCTTTGATAAGAACTACAACGAGAAGACCACCTCCTTCATCATCCGACGCTACTAAGTATGAATAAAAACTCCTAAATTTAAAATTAGGCTTGAGTAATTCAAATAAATCACGGTACAAATTGAAAAAAGGATTTATGAATGCAATAAAATATAATTTAACAAAGATTTATAGAGATAATATAATTCTTATTTAATCATAAATATGTAATCAATGTATTGCTATAATTCATGTTGAGATATCATCATTCACTTGCAATTTAATGAGATCCGAAAATGATCTTTTATGCCTAAAATGAATCCATGAATAATTAGACTTTATAAATGTGCGTTATTTTAAAATATGGCTACATAAACTGGCTAAAACTGTTTCGCAAACTAGATGGCATTTCATTTCGAATGTTGGATATGAGATTATTATCAATAAACTCCAAACCTAGTAGAGGTTGAATGTTAAATGCCGTATATAGAGTATATAAAATAAATGACTAATTTTTAAAGTATATAAACATTTTTGTCGACATTTATATTTCTTACCATTTTTAGTTCCTTCCCGGATCCAACAGTTGCAATGCCACCTTCACCACAATTGGCCGCATGCCTTGCAAGATGTTCCACAACTCCTGAATATAATCCTGTTTGCGCCAGTGATGGCAACACCTATCACAATAGACAGAGGCTGATGTGTCAAAATAGTTGTACATCCGAAGGTTTGAAAATTAATTTGTCAAATGTGTTATGTAAATGAATAGTACAGGAGGCAGCAACGTTTTCAAAACAAGAACTTAAGGCAGTCTTTTCAAAAGAGCACCAAGGACCACATACCAAGAAATCAGCCTGTCTTTCTCGAAAACGTTGCTAGCACCCGGACCAAAAGTAAGCCGTGGTTTTGTAGTAAGCATCAATAGTTCCGGGTTCGATCCCAATCTCTGCCATCAGATTTTCACTTGAGATTATAGATCTCAAATATGATTCAGTTCAAGTATGGTAAAACAAATATGATAACTATAAATATGGTAACCCACAATTAGTGTGGGTTACTACAAAAAAAATATAATATAAACGTACGATTTACAATATATAAAACAGTTGGTCTCCACTATCTAATGAGTGCCACGAAATTTAGTTCAACAAAACTTTTTGAACTTATAATTATATTTTTATATATCTCTATTCCATTTGCAAATTATTTTTATTATTTCAGATATTCAGTTTGTGCGCCTTGGAACATGTGCCCCTCTGTGAAACCGACAACACTTATAATTAGTCTCCATAATATTTAAAACATAAAACTTAATGTTATTCTGTTGTTAATTATTATTATAAAATTGTATTAAGTAAGTTCTTGTATATTATCTAAATACTTTTTTATATATAATCAATAATATTAATAAAAATATGTTTGTTGTTATAAGGCGCACTTTCTAATTTTTAATTAGATTAGTTTTATTAACAATTGTTCTCCCCTATTCCAGAAATACCAGTAGTACAAAATCTGATTAACTTTGACTTAAATTAAATTTTATGATTTTTTTTGTCAATTTGATGATTTTACTAAGGCCATGTACTAATAAATTCTTAAAATATTTAGATTACTCAATCGAGTGATTGAGAGATTACAATTTTTATGAATAATGAATTATTATTGCATAAATATGATATCAAACACCAGATTTTAATTAATAATTTCATAAACTTAAGTTTATGAAATTATTAATTAAAATACGGTTTTAATTATTAGCGGGAACTGATCAGAATTACTCAAAAAAATTAGGCTCAGAATAATTTTTCATAATCTATCCTCATCTTATCATAACGTAGAATTTTGAAATTTAATATATTTAATATATTAAAGTTGGGGTTCCGTACTAGTTAATGAAGATTCTCAATATCTTATTCCATAACATCTAACTTCCACATCGAGCGATGAAAAATTTACATTGTTTACATTAGAGTTCCACCTATCTTTTAAGACTCTTGAAATGTTATCGATTTTTGTCCAAAATCAGCTAATTTGGAAAGGGTTATAATCGATTAATAACGAAATAACACATTTGTCTTCTGTAACATATTAACAAAAATTAAAATCAAATATTTAAAAAAATCAAAAACTCACTTGTATTATATTTATTTTGTATTTTCGTTAAGCATTTTCAACATTAACAACTCTTGAATTTAATTTCTATAGTCAAGGTTTATACACATAAATATATTCACATTTAAATCATATAAATATTATATATTTTTCGAACACGCGTGATAGCATTGAATATAATATTTGCATAAAATTTAAAATTATTCGAAATAACGTTTATGCAATCAATTGACTACCAAATTCTTAATTTGGGCTTATATTAACTTTTTTTTTAAATTCAATAACTTGAAAATATGTCCACATGCTTTTAAACTATCGATATTGTTTTAGTAACATTGTACAAAAAAAGAATATAAAAAATAGATTCTTTTTAACCATGACACGATTCATTATTCATAAATCTAATATCACTAGAGAAAAAAATTATGCACAGGCTAATCGCAATTTGCAGGCATTTAATATTAAACAAGATTTTAAAAGAAAAAGTATGATTTTCAGCGGGGTATCGATCCACAAGTAAGTGATTCAAATGTAAAGATAAAAAGCTATAAATTCATATTGGACTTAAAAATATTTCGATACCATTGTTAAATGGGCTACTTACTCATCAGTCGATATTTTCTTTTTTTTTAAAAAAAAATATAGTACTACTATTAAAATTAATGCTTTTTTTAAATATAGTACTAATATTGAAATTAATGTTCGCAAATGATGTTATAATGTATAGTTTAATTTAAATAAAAATACCTCAGATTATTGTAAGTATATCATATTTTGCTTCAATGGTAGAAGTGAAAACTATAATATACCTCGTAGTAAATTAATATCCGCTAGTAAACATTTTAAAATATAATTTTAGTGTTAATTCACAATCATATTAAAAATATCATTTAAATTATAGTAAACAAAAAATTAAATATTCGAAACGCAAATATATAGTTTACGCTGAATTTTAATAGCATTCAATCAATTGCAAAAAACCCTTTAATAAAATAAGCAATGCTATTATTTATTTCAAATCATATTATTGGTAAAATCTTTGAATTTTTTCGTATGGTATTTAAAAGTTACTATGATTTCATCAAAAATGTACTTTATAAAATATACTTTCCTTAGAATCAATTAAATGCATATATATCTATATTTTCAATATATAATAATCTGTATTTTAATATATTCCGTTAATAATATATTTACAAGAAAAATTAAGTAAATGGACGTGTTAGATATGTATGAATAATTTCAAATTTTGTGGAATGCGCTTTATACACCGAATTGTATTACAAATCAGAGTTGAAAAACGAATTAGACCTTTGGCACTTTTCTTAATTAGGGCGTATGTATGTATACAAATATAATTATATATATATATATATATATATATATATATATATATGCACTTCACATTTGAATTCAAAAATTTAAATATTCTATGTGAGCAATTCAATCAATTTAGTATGTATTTTAATCTATTGAAAAACTATTAAGTTTTTCTTTTCATTTTACAGTCACTAACATTTTTATACTCATTATTTCACTTAATAGATACATAATTTTCTATAGAATTTATATATCTATTATTATTCATTATATTATGAAATGGTATACCACAAGCTTCTTGTAAATATAAATATGCAACAGGTACAATCATAAGTATTATAGATAAATGTTACATTCTAAATCTTTAAATTGTATTGAGTAAATACAAAAAATAAAAATTTCCTGCTGGCATTATACATTTTTAAACAATCTAAATTTTAATAAAAACACAATGCCAACAATTTCCTTTCAATAATTAATATGATGATAAGTATTATTTTATTTAATTAAAATTGTCACAACTAAAATTGTAAATTGTTCATAGCACAACGTTATTTGAATTATAAAACATTGAGAATATGTTCTGTAAAAATATATTGTCAGCGACATAAAATGACTATGTCGAAAATTAAAATTATATCTATAACAAACAATAGATGTTTTCAATGTTCGACAACTAAATAAAAAATTCGCATTACTGCAAAAGTCAAAGCATGAGTATGAATAAACATGATTCTAAAATTGTACAAATTTTCTGCAAATAATAATTAAAATCAAAACAAATGCACACATACCCGATAAGCCCTTTATTTTGATTATCACTAATAATCACTTACATGTCGAGTCTCTCTTACATAATCTTTTGGAAAGAAACCAACCTGAAACAATGAAATAATGGGATTAGTATGATCTTTATAGGCAATTTAGAATAAAATACATACATATACATAGTATAAATATGATATTGTTTCAATATGAAAAAATAATATTTAAAATAAGTCATATAATCAACATAATTCTAAAATTAATTGGTATTGGTATTTGTCCTTCAGGCAAGTTACATGAACTTCTTGTTTATGTGTAAATAATCGACTTAATCAATGAAACATAAATTAATTTATGAGTGATTAAAAGTTTTCCGAGTGGATTTATTACACATAATTGAAAACGAACGAACACGTTAACTCAAAGTATTCTCAAAAAGCAAATTTTCAAAAATCAATAACTTTTATAATTGAACCAGTTTCGGTAGGACTTTAATGATTTAGTATGTTCATTAGGAGTGAGTACTCTATCGTTATACCAAGTAAATCGTCTAATTTTAATTTTAACAAACGTCAAAAAATCTACTTATTTTCTCAAACTTTGATGAATTTTTAAAATTAAACTACTTGTCATAAGTCCGTAATATTTCAGTATGGTTCTACAAGACAATGATATATATCGCCAAAAAAAGTTTCATAAAAATCGACTCAATTTTTTTTTCAAAAACGAATTACAAGAAAACGGCTCAGTAGATTTTCGCCTCAAACAAATCAGTATCATACCCAACCAATATCTTTCGAACAGTTTTTGATTTTTTAAAATCGATTCGGTAGTTTGTGCTTAAATGTGGTCGAAAAGTTTAACACTTTTTTCCAAATTACAAAGAAACGGCTTGGCAAATCGTGGCACAAAACTGACAAACGATAGTCCTCACTGAAATACATACAATGGCTTTTATATTTCTAAACTCGGTTCAGGCGTTTTTGGGCAAATGTCGATGAAAGGTCTAATTTTGAAAAATGACAAAAAAACGATACTAATTTTTGCAAACTTTAAAGAATTTTTAAAATTAAACGACTTGTCGTAGGGCCGTAATATTTTAGTATGATCTATAATAAGGCTATGGAATCTACCGTCAAAAAAATCATAGAAATATTCGAAAAAAATTTTTTTAACACTTTATTACAAGAATACGGCCCAGGCGATCTTTATCAAAAACTAATCAGGTCGATTCCCAATATCTTTCAAACGGTTTTTGAATTTGTAAAGTCGATTCAGAATTGCGGGCTGAAACGCTAAAACAAAAAAATTTACTCTTATCTGCTATTTACAAAGAAACGGTTTGGCCGATCGTCGCGCAAAATTGATAAACGATAGTCCTCATCGAGATACATCGAATAGTTTTTAAATTTTTGAAATCAGTCCAGCCGTTTTTGAGAAAACGTCGATTTACGGCAAAAAATCTGTTCACACACACACACATACACTTTTTCCAAATTTGGTCTCTTTCGATTCAGAATGGTTTGAAACGTCGGGAAAACATAAAATTATGGAATCGGATTTTTTTTTATGATAACATAATCTACTTCTTCGGGAAGTTAATAAAATATACACCAGAGATAAATACATTATTCCTTAGTTATATGAATGTAGTATAAATGTGATATTAGTTGGATATGAAAAAAATAATTTTTAAAATATGCCTTGTCATAATTAACATAATGCTAAAATTACTTAATATGTACTTAAATTCAGGTATAAATATGTTCTGAAGAAAATAATTCAAGTAAGAATAGTCAGTTATCGTAAAAATAGTATGCTATAGTTTAACAAATTTATATTTACTCTGTCCATGACTTTTCCCCTCCACCATCCTCGCTCATCGCCTTCTTTGCTCAAAATAAGAACTTCACATCCCTTGACTAGAGGCAATTGATTAGTCTCATCGGGCTCGAAATTGTATTCGGCTATAGCTAAAATTTGATGAAAAGGCCACTGCAAACTCACGTCCAATCTATAAAAGTTGAATGACATTAAAAAGATGCATATAAATTAATATATAAAATGTAGACTGGGGTCATTTAGACATAAATACTAAAATACAAACCCAACATAATTTTCGCCAAGACTTGTACGCTCATAATATGCAATTAAATCAACAATACTTTTAAAATATCGAGATTCGGATAGATAATATTGTGGTACTAATTCTACTTGCTTTTTATATACTTTCATATGCTTTACTTTATCATCAGTCCTGAAAAAAATTAAAATTAAATCTTATCTGAAAAAATTTTGAACAAAATAAATGAAATATAAACACTCACTTTAGGCTCAATGCATAAGGGGTCTCATCGGGATGAGTTGGCCCTTGAGGTCTAACTCGTAATAAATAGGTACCATTTATTCTTTGTTCTAATTTTCTGGTCGCACAATCTCTACCCATTTCTCCGACATACCTTCGAAAAAAGTGAATATAATTCTTTTTTATCATAATATATTCTACTTTATACATTTATAGCATGGTGGTTTAGTGATGAATATTACCATAAATATTCCGCTAATTGTCTATCGACCACATTTGCTGGCGGTGGCGGTGGTTGAGGTGGTCCACACCGCCCAGAATTCGCTATGCAAGTCTTATGGACTGCTATGCCACAACTTTCACATTTGTAACCCTGTATAAAATAACTTTAGACGAAAAAATACTTTCTCTAATCACTTAAAGTTAAAAATAACTTTAGAGTGAAAAAACACTTTTTCTAATAATCTGAATTAGCTCTTTACATTTATTTTTTAAAGAGCAAATGTAAGTTATATTTTTTTTTGTAAATAAATAATTAAATTACATGAATTTTTTTGAATTAAATAATATATACCTGAAATATTCGCCCTTTAAGAAATTTCGAACAGTGATGACAAGCTAAAGGTCGATCAAATGTTTTCAAAACAAATTTGTGATCGGTTTTCATGCACACTGCCGGTTCCACATTATCCCTGTAATATATATAAATCAAATCACATAAATTATGGATAGTAGAAATAAATAATATATTTTAACTTCCCGTAGGATAGTAATGGGCCGAAAATCGAAAATGAAATGAACCGATTTGAATGGTTCAACAAAATTCGATTTCTATTGATGAGGAGACGTGCTGATTAGTTTTTGACGAAGGCAGGTTCAGCGACTTCGGAAATTTGGAAACAAAAGTGCTAAAAATGTCGTTTTTAAGAGAACGGATCAACCGATTTGAATGATCCAAAAAACATTCGATTTGTAATGTTGGGGAGAAGTGGTGATTAGATTTTAGCAGAGGCAGGTCCAGCCGTTTCGGAGATATAGAGCTAAAGGTGAAAAAATCAATTTTGAGAGATCTTAGCATCCGATTTGAATGAATTAAAAACTTTCTGGTGGAAAAAGAATTTTTTTCCATTTTTTTTTTAATTTTCAAAAAAATATTTTTTTGTATATCAAAAAATAATTTGAACTGTAATTCTAATTCTAGAAAAAGTTCTAAATATCACTTACATACTTCAAATAAATAATTTTAACTTTGCAATTCAGTTTATATAATATGACAATGTTCTTCATTTTAAACCCGATTGATTAAGTTTTGTTTATTTAATTTTTATAAAATAAGAATAATGAGAGTAACATTATTTATAATAATCTATTTGAAAACATTTAATATTCCTCTAATATTTCATTAAGGAACGGGAAGTACCAGCAATTTGCCTTAAGGCACGATGCGAAACACCACTAGTTTATTTTTAAATTGCAATAAACTTATTCCCTTAGTTAAAATTTCTAAAAACTAAATATTTTTTATCTGTTTCAAGTTCTTCTGAACATTTCTCAGAAAAATATAATGAAAATAGTAATATTGTTTAAAATTTTGAATAAAAAAAACTAATTTTTTTAATTAAGTTTTGTTTTTAAATGTGGAAACAAAGTTCGAAAATTTAATACATAATTTTAAATTTTATGCAATCTTAAAAAATTGTATGAAGTTGTTCAAAAATATGACAAATAAAAAATTCTTATCTATACTATGGCTATATGGCGAAAAAAGTAGTATGATAAGCACCAGGGCAAATCGACAGTTGAAAAAAATCATAAGTCAAAAACAAAATCTTCAAAATTAATAAATGTCATTACTTTAATTATAAAAAATAAAAAATATATAAAAATATGATTTTAAATATCATGTTGCGAATAAGCATGGCAACTTAAAAATTGAAGAAATAATCAATAATTTGAAAAACTATGACGAATAAGATTAGGAAGAA